AAAAAAAAAAAAAAAAAAAAAAGGAACAAGAGTAGCAGATACCATACAGCTGCTGCGTGTCAGCTGTTTTGTAAGCAGGACTGTGTCACTTTTCTGAGAACTGTGTCATTTTTATTTTAACACGTAAAATATAAGACAATGTCACATGACAGTAGCTTTTCCAAAATAATTTGAATCATTAAAGAGAAAGTAACGTAGGTTTACTGGAATCAATGAATTCATTTGTTTCATTGTGCCTATCTTTGATGTTCTAACAGAATTCTGTGACTTTCCAATAGGTAATTAATGATGGCATGTGTAGAAGAATAAGGATTGCAGTTTTCATTTTGAAATCATCCCAGATCACCTGACTTTTATCAGTTATAGCTAATGATACAAGTGGTTTGAGAATATCATTCTGCAGATGGTAACACCTGCCTTCTTGAGCTCTCAAATGACCTTATAAACGAGTCTTCTTATTCCCAGTGCATGAGACAGGAAAGAATCAATTTTAAATTCACAGACTGCGAGTGAATTGCTCTAATATTCATTCTTACTGTGAATGAAATAATCTGGGAGTTTGTCTTCTTAGCATAAGTGTTGCTATAAAATTAGGGCAGGGACCTGGAAAAGTACTTTTTTTTTTAATGGGCTACTCATAATTCTGTCCATCTGGGGAAGCTGGAATTCAAAAATGCATCCAAAATTTGTTTAAAGATAAAATTATAGAGGCATTTGAAAGTGTTGAAAACAACAAGTGACAGGTGGTTGTCTCATCATCAGTTTGTTTGAAGATTACTTCAGGTTTAGTGTCCTTGATGTACAGTGAAGCACATTCATACTGTCCCATAGCATGGCAGCCGGTCTAAGCCCCTGGGCCCGCGTGTGCAGACGCACTGCGCTGCTCACAGTCTCCAAATGCAATCCAGTCGCTTCCACTGCCTCCTTACGAGAACCTCCCGGTCACCCCTTCAGGGTTTTGCAGTGAGTGGTTTGAATCTGTAAGAGTGCTCTAGATATGAATCCAATACAGACCGAGTATCTCAAATCCAAGAATCCAAAATCTGCAATTCTCTAAAGTCCAAAACTTTCGATCTGAGGCCACAAGAGGAAATTCCCACTTGACCTTGAATATTCCAAAATCTGAGGATGTCTGCAATCTGAAACACTTCTAATCCCAAGCATTATAGGAACACCAATCCCACGAATCTCAGGGACCTACAGTCCATGCAGAGAACGGGACTGACACAAACTAGGATTCTATAAGTGGGACCAAGTTCAAAGGTGGCACAATGCTGTCCTGCTGTTGAAAATACTGCTTTTTGATACCCTTTATTCAAACAAAATTTACTATGTTTTTAGTGATCGATCCCCATAATGCTGGAATCTGGTTATAAATGCATGTCCCCCTGAGCTGTCATGGCCTGAAGCTGACAATCAATGCAAGTGAAACAGGATGTAAAGGACAGAGGCCCAATCGAGGAGGTCTGTCACCGTGCCAGCGAGGTGACATGGCGGCAAACCGGCAGGCGCCATGTGAAATGACCCGGCCAAACTCCTCCCAAACACAGACTGGGAATTGAGGCTCTTGCTCAAAATCACAGGCCAGTGGTGGGCCCAGGTCTCGAAGCCACGACCAGCCCAGGCCACCGCTGTGAGCACCACATCCGGTGAAATTACTACGGATGATGTCACATCTGTACCAAGTGAGGACAACATGCCCCGGATAAGCAACCCAAAGACCAATTATCCCGTCATTCTGATGAGCAGCGATAAAGTCATTTGGAAAAAAATTCAGATCCCACACTTCGATTTTTATGATTTGGTGTCTTGTAAGATGTTTAAAGTGGAAAATGAAGAATATTTATTTTATCCCTTCAACTGCTTTTATAAACCCGCTTAAACGGAGATGTCACTGACAAGGATCAGGATCCGTAATCCTGGGCTTCTGTGTTCCAGCCCTATCACATCGGCTGACCACTCTTATCGAGAGTCATAGAAATTCAGGGCTGCGAGGAAGCTGGTTTCATCAAAAGAAAGTGGCTCTCCTTTCATTATGCACCTTCAATTTGTGAAACGTGATAATACTTGGTGGAGACAGAAAGTCCTGCATTGGGGCAAGTATCAGCTTTGCAGTAGAGCAGATTGGAGTTTAAATTTAGCCCTCCCTTTTATCAGCTTTATGACCATGGGGCATTTAACCATATAGAGTTCCACCTTCTGAATTTGCAAAGGTACTAATTACTTTCTAACAGGATCACTCATGGGGAGAAACGTAACTGCGTGCCCAAATCGCCTGGCACCGCCTGGGCCTTAGCAGGTACTTAACGAGTGGGAACTACGATGCTCAGGTGGAATAACAAGAAAGCATGAAGCCAAATCCTAAAAGCAGCCTGGCCCTGGATAAGGAACTCAACTCTTGGGAGTTTGTTTCCTCACTTGCAAAACAAGGATAGGCCAAAATCTCTTCGTGTCCAAGGCAAGGGTTACTCAGACAGCCAGGAAAGCCCTCTAGCCCCACGGCGTTGCACCTAGATGCATTTATTCCTTCCATCTCTGTGACTGTGCCACATCACCAATGTGATTTAGATGTTTACAGGATGCTACTTTAATTTAAAGTTCTGTTGTTAATTTCATGAAGCTGATTTGAATTTTTGTTTGGTTTGGTTTGGTTTTTTTAAGCCAGGGTCTCACTATGTAGTTCAGGCTGGCTTTGAACTTCACAAAGTCCAGGCTGACCTTGAATTTACCATGTAGCTGAGGCTGGCTATGAAGTCACAGAAATCCTCCGGTTTCAGCCTCCCAAATGCTTGGATTATAAGCATGCACCACCATGGCTGAAATGATTTTAAAATTGAGTGTTTGACCACTGTGCTCTAAGGCATGAAGATAGGAACATCAAGGTGAAGAATCACAGAAATCTCAGGGCTCCCACTCATGACCTCCATTTACCAGTGTGGACCCAACAACTTCCAAGAGACAAAAAAAGAGGAAAGGTAACAAGGGAAAACAAAACATTTATTAAGAGGCATGAAAAAGCATAAACTCATTTATAAATAAATGTAGTATAATTTACTCAGTGAAAAAATAGCTAAAATCCACAAGCAAACTGGATTTTATATTTGAATGATTACATATTTGATCTCCAATCGTTTCCCCCTCCGTCGTGATCTATTAGTAGCAGCAATTTTACAGTGAACATAGAAAAAGCTGTTACTAATAATCATCACATGGAGAGAAATTTTTCAAGAATGCTCTTTAAAAATGAATCAGTGCAAACAAATTCAAATTACAAGGGATACATAAAGACCTGGGTTTTATCTTCAGAAAAGTAGAAAATAAAAATCCTAAACAGTTACTCATTAAGAAATGACAAAGCAAACTACATTTTTGATCAGTGAAAAATAATACACATAGATATTACAAAACATTCTTAACCAGTGATTGCAATTATTACATTTATAAATGTTCATTCAAGTACTAATGTTCAAAAAACATTCAAATTCGCATCAAAAGTAACACTAAATGTGGACACACCTGGACGAGGCTTCTTTTGATTTAATAACAATCTTGTCAAGAGGAGGCAAGTGACACTTAAAATACTGTTGTTGGTTTTGTTTTGTTTTGTCTGCAGATGATTTTTCACTGTCTGTTTTTGTTCTGCAAGGACCTGATGAACATCTCACAACAGCTCATTAAAAAGTCATTTCCATAAAATGACTCACCAGTATAAAAACAAACACCCTAAAACACAAGATCAGCTCAGAAAACGATAGGGCAAAATCGATTTTCTTTGGCAAGAAATTATTAATTCCTCACCCAATATTGGTTTACTATTCTATAGAAACTGTCTGAACACTTCAGTGTTTACCATCAAGCTATTTAACAAGCTGAAGAAATTTTATAAACTATGCTACCGTAATAGCTAGGAAGGGTTTATGGCAAAGTTGCACTGAAATCAACTTGATTACTGTTACTAATGAGTCTTCCTTCAAAAAGCTCCTTCCTGATTTTGGCCTGAGTCTCGGGCATTAATAGAAGTTCCTTTATCTGTTTCACTTTGGACTTCAGACCCATCCTTTCTTGTTTCAAAGCTTCATTAATTAAGTCTTGAGTTCCAAATGGTTTCTTGGCTAAGGGGGAAAAAATGGAATAATACATTTAAAGTACAAATGTCAATGAAACACTTTAAACACAGTACACTGACTTATCAAAATGAGGCTTAAAAAAACCTTTAAAATGTTGCCCACATTTTATAGAAAAAGTTGCATTTTGCCAAAAATATATCATTTACACAAAACATAAATGACTAAATGAAGATCAATGCACACCAAGGACAAACACGAAACGTTATGGACAGAAGATAATTTTGACAGTGATGAATTAAACTTTGCGCTTGATAGCTGTGTGTGAGTTTGGCCTCAGACAAAGTAGTCAAATGCCCTAGGAAATAGAAGAGCAGCATTCCATTCTCGGCCAGGCCTCTTTCAGCCTCTGGGTCCCCCTCCCTCCCTGTGCACGGCTGAGGGCAAGTGAAACTCGGCCCGATCTTCTCCCATAGACTAATTTCCTCTGCTAGTCCCAAGCACTCGGCTTAGCTTCTGCTGTGTTTCAGAAATGCAAACACATCGATCGTGTTAGGCCATCGCCTCAGACGAGACAAGAGACACTTGACAGCACATGGCAGGTCGGCGTCCAGACTCAGCAGAGGGGAGAAGGGATGCGTTTGCAGAGCACAGCCGGGACCCAAGTTCCAGTCTCATTTCCTGTTGTTATCACTGCCACTGCCACTCCGATCGGCCTCTTCTGCTTTCACAGAGCTCCCCTCCCCTGGCTGCTTTTTGTTCTGGGTTTCTTCCAGGTACTGCTGCACAGCCTTGAGCACCGCGTTCTCCACCAGCCTCTTACTCAGTTTTACCAGCTCGGCATCATCCGGCTCCCCTCCGCTCTTGTCACCTACATTCCACAATAGAGGAGAAGAGAGGTCACTGGGCTGGTAGAACAGCAACTCAGCCATGCGGGGGCCAGCAGGTTCAGCTTAAAGCAGGTTAGCTTAAAAGAGTAAGGGTCCTCGATCCAAAAATGGGCATCCGAAATGAACAGACATTTCTCATACAAAGAAGTGAAAGCAGCAAGAAAATATATGAAAAAATGTTCCACATCACTGGTCATTCGAGAGATGCAGATGAAAACAACACTAAGATTCCACCTCACCCCACAAAGAATGGCTGCTATCAAGAAATCACACAATAACAAATGTTGGCGGGGTTGTGGGGAGAAAGGAACCCTCCTCCATTGTTGGTGGGAGTGCAGATTAGTGCAACCACTATGGAAATCAATATGGAGATACCTCAAAGAGCTGGGACTGGAGGTTCCATTTGACCCAGCCATCCCTCTGTTGGGTATCTTTCCAAGAGAACTGAAAGAATCATATCACAGAGAAGTATGTGCACCCATGTTTATAGCGGCACAGTTTGTAATAGCTAAATCTTGGAAACAACCTATTTGCCCATCCGTTGGAAACTGGATAAAGAAGTTGTGGTTTTTCTATAAAATGGAATATTACTCAGCCATAAAGAGCGAGAGAATAGATTCATTCATAGGAAAATGGATACATATTGAAGATATACTCCTAAGTGAAATAAATAAGTCCCACATGTGTAAATACCGAATAGTTTCCCTGGTGTGAATATTCTACAACAATGCATAAGATTCTAATAAGATTACTGACATTTAGAAATGGGAGGAAAGGAGCTAAAGGTGTAGGGAAGGTGTGATACGTAGGGGAAGAACAAAAAGGGAAAAGAAAAAAATGTGAGAGAATGAAAAGATGAAAATAAAGTGTTTGTAGATGGGGAGGGGAGGAGGGGGTGAAGGGAGGGCAGAGGTAAGGGGAAAATAATGAGAATCAAGACTTGCCATGTAAAGGTACATGATCCCAACAATGAATGTAACTGTACTGTATCCCTAAATGTACCAATAAACTCAATAAAAAAAAAAAAAAAAAAAAAAGAGTAAGGGTCCTTCAGTCTGGTACATTAGATCCATATCTGCGGGAATAGTGGGCAACTTTTCATATGGCATTTGGAGAAGCAGGAGCCTGCCTATTCCTGAAGATGTCAGGCTGAAATGTAGCTCATTAGTCCCCACTGGAAAGCAATGCTCTCGAGCTAGCAATGGCAGAAGTTTCCCACTCCAACATGGAAGTTCTGTTCTTCTCTCAAGTAAGGGTAATTGTTATTATTGAAGGGTCTGTGTCCGCCACTTAGAGGCCCCGCCTTGTGAATGTGCCAAGGAGACCCAGGTCTCCTCCCTCTCCAATGCCACACAGGAAGCAATCAAGATTTCGCTGCCATTTCATTACTTAGGGTCACTCAATTTTCAAACGCTTGGCCTACAGATGGGTTGTTACACTCTCAGCCCTCCTCTGAAGACAGCTACAAAGCTAAAGCTACTACTGCTAGCAACTAGGTTAAAATAAATTTGGAAGACCAACATTCTCTTCATTTCAGTGCTATCACTGCAATGGAGGAACAGGAAACTCTTCAAGGAAGAGTCAGAATTATGATGGTAAATTACCTGATGTTACTATTTTATCGTCATTAGCCTCGCTGCTAGCGGTAGCCTAGGTTTAAGTACTGTATTCCGTATTTCCTGTTACTACACAAGAGCTGGCTCCTACCCACTTTCATGCTACACAGTCCCAGGCACTCTCTTCATTGTCTCCCTTCACTAGGGAAAAGAAGTAAGAGGCTTTTCCCCCACGTCCGCTCAGCATCCGCCTCCTTCCATGGAGTTGTGGGTCCAGAAAGGCAGATGGCTGGAGGCAAAGAAGTCCCCAGGCACACACACACATTCAGATCAGATCAGCATGGGAAGATCACTGGTGGGCTCTGGAAGGCAAAGCCAGTGTGGCATCTGCATGCTGAGGGGTGGAACAGACAGATACAAGGTGGATGAGCTCGAAGGTGGACGTTATTCTCTGTCTTCACGTGTAACAGGGATTAAAGAACAAAAGCAGATAAGCCAAAGGTGAGAACTGGCTCCCACCTTCCTTCAGAGCCCTATCATTTGTCTGTAATCCACATTTGGGACCAATTCTGCTTATAACCATCCCACCCTCTTAGGGTCATACCAGGCAGATGAAAGAATGGGTTAAGACCCACGGAGAGAGGCTAAGAATGGACAGCCACCTAAGGCCCAGGACCAGAAGTCCAAGCACATTTTCCGTGTTTGGAACTGAGAGGAAACCTCAACTCATGGATAACCACACAGAACCAACTAAATGTAAACATGTCAAGATGTCATGATGGGGCAGACAAAAAATCATTACTAATATTACTGGGGGGGCAAGTTCAGATTGCTTTCATTCCTAAGAATAAATGAATACAATGCTCAATAGTTAAAGGTCTTCACCTCAATCTAAAATCATTTATGTGATATAGATGGCACTTGCAACTATTTGTATAAATGACTCTTCAAATTTAAAGTTTAAAAAAGATCACATTGAAGATGAAGAACTACTATTTAGCTATCTTTTAAAACACTGTCAGGGCTCCACATCTGCCACCCCACTGTTTCTAGGTGACAGGTTGTGTTCCTGGAGGCTATTCTAGAACCTCGCCGGTCACCTTCTTGTTGGCAAAACAACAAGGTTATATTCGATTCTAATGAATGACTCAACCTCCAAGATCTCTCTTCAGTCCAATATTACTTTTGTGATTTCTATCAGTCCACAGTGAATTGCCCATTACCTTCAACATGAAGAGTAAAATGCCAATTTTCCTTTGGTTTTATTTTTGTTTGTGCTTTTACTATTATCAAGTCAATGAAACTCAAGATTATCACCATCTTGGACACCTTTCTATCCTTCATCGACCTATTTAATTACTAAGCCTTGTCAACATATGCTTCACAATTTCTCCCTTCTTCAATGCTTCTGACATCACTTGTCTAGATTAATTTTTTTCTAAAATATCCTGTTCACTCTCCACTCAACAGAGAAACAAGCTTGGCTTTCCAAAATCCGCCTTAACAGCCCACAACTGCCGCACCTCTACAACTTCCAATGTGTCTTTAGAAATCGCTACATCATTTCCTGTCTTGATTTGGCCCTCCCTTTCTCTCACCAGTTAAAAATCCCACCTACTCCAGGAAGTCTTCACTGATTGGCCCAAACAAAAATGAAGCTCCTCCCTGAGATTCCCATAATTCTAACTGAATACAACCTACATGGTCATTCACTCAATGAGAGTGTGCCAAGAACCCACTACGTGTCTATAACTCTTCCCACCCACAGAGATACAACAGGGAGGAGACCAACAACCCACAAGCTTTTTTCTCTGAATTCATTTACCAATGACGAGTGCTGGTTATTAATGACTTTAGGTTGTATTATTCAACAGCTAGTGATCTGGTGTCTGTTTTGGTGAAGACACAGTCTGGAGTATAGAAATTACGTCTCAGGCTCCTCCCGGATGTTCCCCTCTGCCAACAGATGGGCAGTGTATTAGTCACAATAAGAGTTCAAGAAATATTTGTTAGTCAACTAAATTGTTGACTGAAATCTCTGAAAACAGTAGCCAACATTTTTAAATGTTTCCATCGTCCTATAAAAATAGCACACCATAGCCAGAAATTTAAATTTCATATTAAGTTTAAAGCAAGAGAATTCCGGAATAATTCAAATATCCATATGTACAAGTTACATCTATTTTGATGAGCTTGGTCAATATGACAAAATCTCAGACCCACGGGACAAATAGTACCCACCTACAATAACTAATTGTCTAGCCCACTGGTCAAAAAATAAACACATTTGTAAATGAATCTTCCAGCTCTCTCCTGGGCTCTAGTCACGCCTTAGGACTTCTGCAAACCATCTTCAATGTGTTAACATTGAGTCCAGGGAAGAGATGATAGGGAAGGCACAGCACAGAGCCCTGCAGGAATGGGTTTAGCTTCATTCCAGGAAGAACCGGGTTTTTCTTCCCACTTTGAGCAGACTTAATTCAACTTCATTAAAAAGAAGTACTTTCTGAACCAGGATGTAGCTCAGTATCAGGCCTGCCTCACAAGCACAAGGTCCTGAGTTCGAGCCCCCCCCAAAAAAGAAGTACTTTCATATTAAAAT